GCTTTGAATCATAAGTGAAATTCCTGAAACAGCCGTTCAGTATGGTGAGAATAACTTTCCCTCGACTGCACACACAGAAAACTGAGGGATGTTTAGGTGAAAACTTGATGCCTTTGGTCATTTAGCTGCTCCAGGCAGAGAGACTTGATTTCTTTCTCCCTTTGAAAATACAAAAACCCCAAAGAACCAATCAAAAGTAATTTACTCTGTAAGGAATTTCTTACCTTTTAAGTGTAGCTGTATAGTTACAGCTTTTATTATGTGAAGGGAAGCTGTGTTAGTTGAGCCATAGTTTAATTCACTTTGAAAGTTTGTTTTTTTTTTCACTTATGAGGGTGTAAAATCGTTTCTGTGAAATTTAAATATGTTTTTATGCAGAAATACTATGCAGCTGGGCAGATCTGGTACGAGATTATAGAGTCTGTTGAACATTACTCCCCTTTATGCATTTACTGGATTATTGCTAACTGCTTAAATGTTCTTTTCTGTTATTTAACATGTCACTGTTGTGTTACTGCAATCTTCTGAGCAATATTTTTTTTTTTCAATTTTAGATTCTTTCAATGACTTATATACTTCCTATGTCATCTTTTGTATCCTCCTTATGTCTCTGGTGACACTAGTAATAAGCATCTTCAATGCTGAATTTTATGCAGGTGAGTTATGTAAATTGCTGAACTGTGATACCCAAGTTAAACAGGATGACCATTTAAAGAGATTTGTATCCACAGTCAGTGTACTTAACATTGGTAGATTTCTTTTTCAATTAATATAGACAATAAGCAAAGCTTATTTTGAAGTAAGTCATCCTAGATTACTGCTTACTTCATGGCTGAGACCCTCTTAGATGAGCTGCTTCATTGACTTCTTTATCATTTAGTGACTGATTCCAACTGGGAGAAGTTCTGTCATGACAAATTTTTTTTTTGTTGTTTACCTTTTTTAATGAAGGATTTTATTAGTAACAAATGAAAATTCACTTCTGGCTTTTTATTTACAGTTGTGCCCTCAATACCATGCTCTCGATTAGCACTGATAGGAAAAATTATTCACCCTCGGCAAGTTATCCATTCGGTTGTTCATGCTATAATGGGAATGTTGGTTGCTTGGTGCACTGCAGTTATGACCAAAGGGAAGTTCCAGTTTCTTGCTGTGTCCTGCACAACTTCAGAAAGGTAATTATTTGTGTGTGTTGAAGATAAGTTATGCAAAGAACTTCTATTGTAAAACATATTTACTCGTGGCTTCTTTCAAACAAAAATGTAAAATGTAAGCAGTATCAAGAATAAACATATGTTGATATCCTTCATTAAAGGATAGGAAATAGCCTCCTTTGCAAATATTACAAAGCACAGAGAAATAATTGAGCCAGAAAACCTAAATTGCCAGGATTCTTAAAGGAAATTTAAATGATGATAAATTGGTTGTCACGTGAACTAAGTTTTGGTTTTCTGATTAATGTGACATACTTCATAAATACCAGAAGCATCCTCATCCATAAATTACAAAAATAGATGGTGAGATACCTACTTTAGAAAAAACTTAGTGAGATACCATCGTACATAGATTGGGTAAGTAAAATCAAACTTCTGATTTGAACTTCCTAAGGCTAGAATGACTGTATTTTTTTTTTTAACTGGGAATTAATTCTAAGTTTGCTATTTTAGCCTAGATGATGCTCTTCCTCAGATGTGCCTGAATGAGTATCACCTCTTTTTTCTGCTTTCTGGAGCTTTCATGGGATACAGTTACAGTCTTTTGTATCTTATTAACAATATGAATTACTTGCCATTTCCAGTCATACAGGTAAGAGGTTTAAGCACCTTTGCAGAAAGACATGTCTAAGTAAAACAGCGATCAAAAAAGCTTTGATTGTTTATGGTTTTGTATATGACAGTAGCAGATGTCTGTTGTCATGCTTTCACTAATAGATGAAGCATACACTCATCGTTAGTTTTAAATGCCAGTAGTGTTCATCTTCCTCCTTCCTGCTCCGTTCCTTTCAAATGAACACAGAAATCTGGAATGCTGTGACTATAAAATTAACACTCCTCTAATGGATGTTAAAAGCTGGCTGAGGTGGACCATTGCAGCAAGTGAACTACAGGCAAGAGACAGTATACACAAGCTGGATGTTAACTCCTGGAATTGACAGCAAGGGTCACCTAAAAGCTAAAAATCTTGAGAGTAAAAAAAAAAACAAAAAAAACCAACCCAAACCAAACCCACCAACATATTAGCAGTTGTAACTGGGTACCAGCTCACTTAAAAGTCTAAATAGCATGTTAAATCTTGCTTAAAGCTCAACATCCGAAGCTTGTTTTATGTGTGTAGTGCTATGGAAACTGAAATTTCAGTAATTCCTTTAGAGGGGGCTCTAGCAGTTCTACAGAAATCTGTACCAGTACAAAATGGTGAGGTGTGGCTTGTGAAACATCATTTTAAAAAATATTTCTTCTCTTGCTGTAGCCTCACAGCAGATATCAACTTTGCATCATTCCCAGATTTACAAAGTCCAACCAGTTTGGTGTAGATACCAAAAGATATCTATAAACCAGGGTGGTTGTATTAGTGGGAAACATTTAAGTCATGACTGTTCAGTTTATCTGAAACCAAGCACCATTTTGGCAGTGCTGTGGTTATAGTATTTTTTAAAAATTCTATTATTTGAATATTGCTAATTCTTTTTTAAAAATGAAATTTAGTCAAGTAAGTAAATCACTTTGGTTTTATATGCATATAGGGTCAGGCGGGTTGCTTTAATTGTTTGGAAAGACATAATTTGTTTATATGGAGAAAGGCATCACTGTTACACTGGTTTTGCTGTTTGGAGGATTGTTATTCATTCTTGTTTGAATTTTCCCTACATTTTAATGGAACACTTCTAATGTAAATGAAATCTAGTAGATTAAACATGCCTTGTTTGGGGTTTTTTGTTTATTTTGCATTAGACAGCATTCTTTTAGTTTGTCCTCCTGTGTATAGAGTCAGTTTACTCCATCCTCCATATTCATACTGCTACAAGTAGGAAAAGAAGTGAGAACTAGAAAGGATTATAAAATGGAAGAGACTGGGAGAGTAAATAGCATAAATTAATTTTTTAATTCATCTTGACTTCAGGTTTTCAAATGCCTAGTCCTTTTTTTTTTTTTACCATCTCATTGATTTGTTTTGCATGAAGAATACTGAGCTATTTTTTTGTTTGTTTTTAGCAATACAAGTACTTACGGTTCAGAAGATCTTTGCTTCTTCTCATTAAACACAGTTGTGTGGAATCGCTATATTTTGTTAGAAACTTCTGTGTCGCATACTACTTTTTTGGTAAGAGTTCCTGAAATTCTCCTCCCTGCCCCCCTCCTTGTATTTTGAAAACTTTATTTTTAATCAGTCAGGCCTGTTATACTATTTTTCAGCCTTCCAGGTAACTAGCACATAGACTTGTTTAAACAAAAAAAGAGATTTGATGCCTCTCTAAAATAAAAAGAAAAGGCACAGGGTTTGTACAGCAAGCAGTATTTGTATGATGGCAATTCCTACAGCCTCACAGAAGTTTGTTTGGCATATGAGAAATGTCCCTTCTCCAAAGAGATTAACACCTTCAAGAATTTGTCTAGTGGATAACACTGTAAGATGATGACAATATTCTAAGGAGAAGGAAGTGGAGAACAATAATTTTCTAACTTGAAGTCTGTGTTTGGTCACTGTTCCAAAACATAAACTGTTGTCTCTGGTGATCTCTCCTGTGCAGGAAATCTTGTTGCAGGCAGCTGTGAAATAACTTGAATATAAGAGAGCTACCAAATTCTAATCAGCTGGTGGTTTACAAGTGTATATTTTCAAATCTGAAGCTTGAGGCCACTGTTTACATACCCATTTTAATTTGTTGCAAAAAGATTATAAATCTGAAAGCACAGTGCAATTAAAGCAAAATTGTGTTAGTCTGTAATTTATATTCCCCTTTTAAAAATATTCCCAAATATTTTTAAACATGGATAAACATCTCTGGGCATTACTTCACTATATGTAATGTTGCTGTGCTTTCACTATCTTTTAAGCAAAAATTAGTACGTTGAGTTTATTCTCAAGTGCACTTCATATTATTTGGAGGAAGCTGGGGAAACAAAGGCAGTGTGGTTCTCTCCCATATGAAAATGAAGTTCAGTCTTTAAAACAATGGTAAAAAGTCTGTGCTGAAGATGATTGCACTGGACTTTCTAAAAATCAGGAATTTTTTTATGTTATGGTTGTAATTATCCTCCTAAATGATGTCAAAACATGATAGAATTATTTCCACTTTATTTACATTAAGGAATGAATTAGAAGTATGGTGGTTCTAGATCAGTTTCCATTAAGTCTTTAAAAGTTGCCTGAGCTGTAGTGAAGGTTAAATTACTGTTAACCCTCTTGTTAGTGAAGAAACACAAAGAACTCGGTGCTGAGAAGCTAGCAGTAAGAGATGAGGTCTACATGTCTCAGTGTATAGTTGCTGGCCTGAAGCTTTTTTCATTCTCTTTTTTTTTTTTTTTTAAAGAAATAGAAAGACAAAAAACCCCCAAAGGCAGATTATTTTCTGGTGCACGTGTGTTACAAGACCAGTCTCTTGTCTATAGATGCATTCTACTTTTGTCTTTTGTTTGGCCTATTGTGTATGTGTTTTGCGGTGTCACATTTGTCACTTGTTTCTTTTTCATCCCATAGGTTATATCCCAAAAGTATGGATAAGTACCACAATGAATCTTCATCTAGACAGGTAGGTAGTACTTTGTGCTAAAAACTTGCAGGAGAACATTGCTGGCAGCTGCCTTTGCTGAAGAAGTCCAGCTTAGCAACTGGTTTTAGTAGGACTCGATTCCTTGCTTCCCCACACAGCATGTGGGTACTTCTGAAATGGAGCCAGAAGGAACCAACATCCCCTTGTAGGAACCATCTTGTAGACAGTCATTAAGAAATCCTCTCTGTTTCCTTCATCTCTCTAAGTCTCTAAAGTATTAGAAAGGCCAATCTCTCCAAATTACATACATGTGTTTTACCTGCTTTTTTGTGGGGGATTTTTTGGGGGAGGGGACATATCTTTGTCTGCCATTTGTTTTAAAATAGGGAAGCAGGAGTCTTAGTACCTTAATTGGCTGAAACTGTAATCATTGTTATTTATTTCATATTTATTTTCCTTAATTTCCTTAATTTTTCTTCATTTTATCACAGTTACTGAAAAACTAAAAAACTGGTATCTCAAACATCTTGAAGAAATTGCTTTTGAAAAAAAAAAAAAAAAAAGCCACTTTATTCTTGCAGTTGTTACTACTATAATAGCTGACTATAGACATCTTCCATAATAAAAATATTTTCTCGGTTGTTTTATTTGCAGTGAATTGCATCCTCTTGACTCTTTGACTGGTTTATTGGATATCTCCCTGTTTTACCATGCCTGGTTGTGTGGCGTGTTTCTTCTGATTACCTGGTACATTGCATGGTTACTCTTCAAAATACATGCCACAGAGGTTAGTACTGAGTGACAGTGCTAAAGGTATAACATCAGTGTTTCACAGATACTACTTTCTTTTCAAAAGCAGTTTTACTAGGAAAGAACTTACGCTGAGTTCTTGAATTTTCAAAGCGTGCACTACAGATGGTATCTGATAACTGAACAGTTGATAGGGGCCTGGGCATTAACTGACTTTCCCTTTCTCTCCTTATAGCAAGACAGCCTGTGCTGTTTACAAAATTAACGCTTTGTTATTTCTACCTCCTCTTCTTACTCCTCTACTTCTGTTTCTGTGTCCCCCTTCTGTTTGTATATGATGCTAAAGGTGTGCAGGTGCTGTTGGGGCCACCCTAACAAAGAACCACTTTGTGCTTCGCGGAGTCTGCGCCTTGTTCTTTGTCATCCTTAGGTGTAAAGAGAGATGAGCTGGTGCAGCACCCATGTGTGTCTGGCAGAGCTTACTGCATGGTCTCTGCATGTGTTTCCATGCAATGATTTTGTATTTGAATGTGAAACTATCTAAAGACTTGTGACAAATAGCTACAGGTTATGTGGAAAAATAATGTCTGGAAACTGTATAGCTTTCAATCCAATTTTACCATAGGAAAGAGAACAAAATGCTGATAATTTTCTGTGAGCTAAGCTCTAGAAATCTCAAATTCAAGCAAACCATCAAAGTGCAGAGTTCTCCAAAGCAGAGACATGTTAATCTAATTCAGACTGTAGTATTAAAATAGACTTTAAGCAATCCTGGGAATTAAGACACTTGTGCTTTTTCATTCAATCATTAAGTTACAAATTAATATGGCTAAAAAAAGACCATATGTAATTAATTGTATTAGAATAAATGTGAGACCATGATTGAAGAAGGGGGGGAGAAAGTCTTGCCAACAAAGAATCAGAGAAGACTTGATCTTTGTTGATAAATCCAGGTATTTCTTTGTAGGAATACAGAGGCAAAAATTGTTCATCTAAGTTTTTTTGTTTAGACTGCAGATTAGTAGGGGAAAAAAGAAAAGCTTAAGAGTGTTTTGCCAGGAATTAAGGGATGAAATGGCATAGGGTACTTGTTGGAGTGTTAGCTTTAATTAAAAAGGTCTAGTTGTTATGACTGCATGGAGAAAAGGTTAACAGTGAATCCAGCATAACTGGTGTAATGATGTGCCAGTCTGTAGACAGCTCCAGCAACAGCTCTGAAGTGTGAACAACCTATTTGAAAGGATAACACTGTGTGTCAATGTCTGTAATTACTGTATTGCTTATGAAACTTTGGAAGACAAAAGAAACATCCAGCTGTGAAGATGTAAAATGGACCTTGCCCTTTTGGCTGTTCAACAAGATTATTATTATTTTTTTTTTTATCCACATGATTTTTTTTATGAGCTAAAAAGTTTCCAAAGCTGTTTGTAAATATTTGCATAGTGTTAACTGAAAAGTCAGGAAAGAAATTGTAAACTTAGTCCCCATTAAGTCACTTTATTAACACTTTGAAAGCAATTTCTACCTTAAGATTTCAATTTTTTGCGGTTGGAAACAGAGAAGAATAAAGCTATGATACATAAAATGAGTGCAGTAACACAAAACTGACGGGTAATCTGTGTCCAAACTGGTCCATGTTAAATAGCATTAAAAAGATGTAATGTTTGACACAATTTAAGCACTGCTACTTACATCTTAAATGTGGTACTTGCAAGAACAGAAATTCTATTAAAACACGGAATGTGAAAAATCATGATGATAAAAATAAGAATTCATTAGTTTATCAGTGAAACAGTGCAAAAGAAGAATTAAAAAAATACTTTATTTGGTAAAAGAACCATCAGTTCTTCACCAGAGTGGTTACACTGTTGAAGATGAACATTACAGTTCTGATTTCAGTCTTGTTTCCGAATATTGTGTTGCTAGTTTTTCCTAGGTATGTGGTTAGAGGAATTTCTTTTTATAATGATGAGTTCATAGCCCCTAGCTATGAATTATATGCGTACGTGGAAGGCATTTGAACATAAAAATACCTGGATTTTCTAAGATTTCACAATTTTAGACCTAAGGACTAAGATGGTTTTGTTTCAATGTTAGAAATTTTAGGCTATTTTACAGTAAGTTGAAGCAAAGCGGTATGTGCTTTTGTAGTTTATCATTCATCTGAGAAGTAACAGCTCGGGTGTTGTCTTTCATAAGGTTTTCTTCTCTTTTGCTCTGTATAACACATCTTCTGATGTTTCTATTTAGACACATCATTTTCCTGTCCAGCCAACTTTTGCTGAGGAGACAGACCAGTGCCTGCCTAAAATCTTAAACAGCAATCCTCCCTTAATTATAAAGGTAATTGAATGCCCACCGTTTTCCCAGCTAGGTGCGTGCTGACGTGTTTCTTAAAGCATTGCAATCAGATCTTCTAGGTACCGGTTCTTTTCAGTGAGGTTGAATTCTTCCAAAAGCTGCCTGGGAACACTCAAGGACACAGTAACACTGAATGGGAGAAAATTTGTTTAGTGGTGACACCTGGTGGTGCTTAGCACGCTGTTGCTTTAAGCTGAAGACAGACTCATTTAATTGGAGGCAAGATTTATTTGTCTGCAGCATGTTAATGTGTACTGATGCAAAAATAACAGGTTAGTGACATTCAGGGGTTTTTTAACTCTTTCAGCTCTGAGTCTTATCAGATAAGCAAGCATTTTGTCAAACCTTTGTACACTATTAACGCTTTGTCCCTGCTATTTATATTTGACTTATCTGTCTCTCTTGAAATTCTGTTCTCTCTTGAAATTAAAAAAATATTTCCATATTTATGTTGGAAGTTGGGTTTATTTTTTTTTAAAAGACGATACTAAAAAGCTACATAAAATCTGCTATTAAAGAAGAGTAGTTTTGGTCTGACTACAGTAATCATTAATGGGATTTACTGATTATAGTACTTAGAAATTGGAGACCTCATATAAGAAATACTAGGTAAATAAATATATCTTCCTGCACATGTAAAATCCACATTTACTGATTTTACAGATCTGTGGTAAGACTGGAGATAATAATGGGCTGCAATCCACTTGAATAATTTTTTAACCTTTGCTGCTTTATCAAAGGATGGGTAGGGAAGTGTTGAGCACAGCACGGTTAAAGGTAGAGAAAGTTTAATTGTAATTTCAGCCATTACTAAGGTGTCTTATTTATAATTAGATCTTGCATAGTGTGAGATACCTGGTTATTTTTGGTTTGCCATATTAACTACTTAATCACATAAAAAAGCAGTATCGGGTCTGGTACCATATGTCACACTGTGTAGTTTAGCTCTGGCTTGCAAAACTAGTCCTTTCCTTAGACTTTCTTGTGTTTTAGTCTCTTTCTGTCTGAGCTGTTAGCTGTTAAGATAAAAAATAGCATTAGATCTTTAACTCCAGAGAAATGACATACCTGAAGCTCTTACCAACTCAGCAGCCCTGTCCAGAGTGGTTCTAGGCATGTGTGCAGTCCTTTGCCTTCTTTCTTCTGTTACGTGGCTGGGTTTAGTCTGTGTGAACTCATTCTTTGGTAGGGATTGCTTTTGCATAGAGAACTGCATTTTTAAGGAAATATGTTGGACTTTGTATGCACTAAAACGTTTTCCTTTGTAGTTTTTAGCCTTACAAGACTTGATGTTACTTTCGCAATATTCTCCTGTTCGACGACAGGAAGTCTTCAGCCTTAGTCAGCCAGGTAATTATAAAAACTATTTCATAATGATTTTTTTTTTAAATAAAAGTGCTAGTCAAATGCTTTTAGAAGTTATTTAATGCTATTACACATGCTACATAATCCAGAAGGCCTCATAAGTAGAAGTATCCCTATGATGCCTTTTCCAAGAGGAGGCTTAATTATTGTTTTATCTACTAAACTGGACAAATTCTTGTGCCTGTTGTCTGATTTAAATGACAACTATGAGGTCTTAGGGTATTGAAAGTAAGGTCCTCTTGACATCACCAGTTAAATAGCCCAAACTGAATAATCTAAGGGATGGGTATGAAAGCCTAATGTTGAGATGTGAACGAGGTGAAATCAAGGATAAATAGTGAATTACCACTAGAGTTGTTAAAGCAAACAATGGCTATAATTTCAACTAGTGTTCAAGCCTCTTGCTACATACAAAGATATGGTAGAGAAAATCAGTTAAAACTGCTTGGAAGCCTTCAGGAACTTTTTGTTACACCTCACCAGGAATTCTAGTGTTTGTACTACTTCAGGACTGTTTGCCATCACCACTGTTTTTACTTTGTTTATTTTAGTTGTTCAGTAATTTCAGATGGCCAAACTGCCTATGTTTCCTGCTTGTTTAGCAGGTTTCACTAAAGTCTTTTTAGAATTATCCACTGACAGGAGGATAGAATCTGTCCATGTTTTCATCTTCCTCTCAAAACAAATAAACTGTCACAGTGAAGATGCACTGTGTCTTTTTAGAAATGGAGTGGTACTCTAATCTCTGAAGCTTATGCTGAGAGCACATGGGCACTGTCAGAACAGATAGAAGGATGAGCCATCTGGGTTAAACATACCTACTGCAGTTCCTTTTTGTGTGCATACTGCTAGGTGGGCACCCGCACAACTGGACTGCAATATCAAGGGAGTGTTTGAGTCTTCTGAGCGATCTGACCCAGAGGCTGATCGCACAGCAGGAAGCTGCAGCAGCAAATGGGAGAGTGAAGCAGCCAGCAGGAGAGCTGAAAGTATCTCCACAGACTCCAGGTGCGTGAGGAAATGCTCGTACTAGTTTGTAAAGCATGGAACTACCAGCAGATTACATAGGTGCATTAGTCTCAATTAAGCTGTATGGGGAAAATGAGTCGCGCGGTTCCCTGCAAATAAATGCAAACAAAAAAAAGTCTCCCCCAATTACATTTTAGGTATGCTTGTTGAAATAGTCCCAAAATAACTAGAAAACCTGGAAAGATTATGTTTACTCTGTTTACTTTGCATGATGTTATGTTCCATATAGTATTTTTTCCACACGTGCATGAATTAAGAAAGTCTAATTGCAGTTTTATTGAGTGGTTCAACCTAGTACAGGGAGAACTTGAGTCTTGCCAAGAGATGCTTTGTAATTTTCATAGCTGCTCTTATAATTAGTTCAAGATGGTAAAATTAGGGTTTTTTTTGGTGTTGTGGGGACTTTGGATATGTTTGTGTGATTCACTAATATCCCTGTAGAATAAGAAAAGCCAGTCTGACTCTGGAGCTGTGTGCAGCCTGCAAGCATTTCAGGTGTTTTGCATGCCAGACTTAGGCATTGTTCCTGGCAGCAGAGCTGTATTAGCACGAGGGGTGCCAGGTAATTGAATCCCTTGGCATCAATGCCTTGGATACAAGTGCCCTGGGAACAGCGGGGGACGGTTAGTATCTTGGAGGTGAATTTCTTCTGCTGTTCCTTGGATTTTGAGACTGACATGTCTTTTCTTATGCACCAAGCAGAATCATAAAGAATTGCCATTCTTCTGTAGGTAGCCTTTTTTCTAGTACTTAATCCTAAAAGCACACTTCTTGTCGGTATATACCAGGGTGTGGTAATGCTAGCTAGCAAAGGGAGAAAAATAAATACATTCACAGGAATCCTTCTCATCACTTGCTGTTCTTAAACTGATGAACTTTTAAAACACTTCATGCTCGTGTAGATGTGTACTTCTGTGCAAAAACCACAGGGGAAACAATGTCCCTTAATAAAAGTTCTAATAATAGAGAGGTTGTTGAAACAGCGATCAAATAACAAGCTCACCTCTTATTTCATATGTGGCAGCCTGTTTGTCTTCATGCAGTGTGTTCTTTGTCATCAGGAGCCGTGGTGAGAGAAGACATGGCTTTCCAGTCACCGAGGTCTAACATCATTCCCAGAGCCTCCATGTCTTCACTGGTTAAACCATCCCTTACGCCTTTAAAGACATTGTCTGGGTCTGACGTTGGTTCGCCTCTTAGCTCACCTTCTTTAAATTGCAAGATGGGAATTCTGGGTGTAAACTCTCCTTGGCATGTATCAGTCCAAAGTCCTCAAGTTACGCGAAGGGGACCAAAGTTGTGGACGTCAGATTCAGGTAGAGATTATTTTCCACACCACTGTTTTTAGCCTTGTAATCATAAGTGTAATAGTCAGGTCATTAGAGATCTGTATCTTAAGGATTGACGTGACAGGAACCAGTTTTTCTGAAGATATTGTATTTCTCTTGTAGATCTGCAAATGAATGGTTCCCACCAGAAATCTTCCCCAGTGGTCTCTGCTGCAAGAGTTGGCAGTGAAGTGGTACAGCCAAGATTTATTTACACGTGGCTTCAGAACAAGCAAGAACAGGTAGAGTAAAACTTGCAGTACAGATCAGTTACAGCCCGTGCACCTTAGGTGTTCTCTCTTCTGGAAGAACTTTCAATTCTTTTTTTAAAGAATACTTCCTTCTCCAATTAGCTGACATAACAAAAGTCTTTCCCCCCACCCTCCAATCTCTTTTATACTGTGAGAAGATGGTAAGGTTGGGGAGGGCCAACTGTGCACACCTTAGATAAACACAGATGATATTTGTAATCTTTTGTTTCTTTTCAGATAAAAAATTTCTTGGCAAAACGAGTGCTGATAATGTATTTCTTCAGCAAGGTAATCATGATCTTATGTTTTGTGACTGAGCAGCAGGGACTAGAAATAGATGAGCATATGAATAGTGCTGTGGTGCTGTGTACCTTTTGCATATAGTAACAGTTTAAAAACCATCTTTTTAATCTAAAGGTTTCCACAAGCACAACTTTGTACTTACTGTGAATTTCATAGCAGGATTATTATTCCATACCTGCATAAGAAAGAATAATAATAATAAGAATACTTGTTTAAACTCTCCTGATTGTAAACTGCATTTTGCATAAACCATCACATACTAGTAAAACTCAACTGAGAACTTAAATGCAGTTGTTTTGGTGTACTAACTGTAAGGTGACACGGCTTCTAGTTAATTTTAAAATTCAGTTAACTGCGTTTTGTTAAGTCAGTGTACCAAGTAAATTCTTCATAGTTTTCTTTTGTGGGAGAAGTAGTAGTTAAAACGTTGAGAATTTCTCCTTACAAAATACCAGTACTAAAATTACTGAAACTTTTCAGGTGAATTTGAACACTTTAAGCTTTCATAGTGTTTGCACAAAAACCCCAATGGGGTATTTCTCTTAGCATAATTGAACAATAATTCAGTTACGTTTTACAAAAGCATCCCCCTCTAATTTAGGTTGTTATTTTTCAGGGGTTTCAAATATTTCCTGCAAGTAGAGATCACATTTTTGTATGCAGATCTCTATGTGATACAGTGGTTTATGCTTAAATGTACAGTAGTGTTTTCTGATCAGTTGTAGACTGGAGTGGAGACTGAAGCAAGCAAAGTCATGGAATAGTCATGGGGGAATTGTATTGCCCATTTAGCCCCACTAACCCCCATTAGCTAGCCCCACTAGCTAGTTAATACGCTTTTTTTTTTTAAAGTCCCGATTATAGATACAGATTTGTGGGCAGCTCCTGTCCAAAAATAATTTGTGTCTTAAAAGATTGCTCTGGCTATTCCCTGAGATCAATCAGCCTTGAAGGTCTTTTCCAAGATGAGGGACATTACCCTATCAAATGTGTAATACCTTAATTGAAACCTGCAATTTCGGTGATATTATTTATGAAGTGCCCTCAGAGTGCTTTGATTTGTTCTCAGCACCCAGAAGCCTCCATCCAAGCTGTCTTCTCTGATGCCCAAATGCACATCTGGGCTTTGGAAGGTAAGAAGCAGTTTATATACCTGAGTGATCTATTCTTTTGGCTCATGGAACTACAACAGCTAAAAGGATCCGATTCCAGGTTTCTGGGGCTCTGTGCTTTGTAAATGTAACAGAAGAAAAATCTTTTAATCTATTTTCACAAAAAGCTGACTGCATTTCAGATACCAAATGAATAAAGCTCTACTTCACTTGCTAGTTTTGAGATCCTGTGGAAGATCTCTTAGTTTATGTTCTGTAGAGGTTTGGTAGAAATTCCTAAACTCGGTTTCTGTTGCTTCTCTACTGTGTGTACCCATGTATCACTTTTGCTTTTTTTTTTTTTTTTCTAGTAACAGATTTATTATGTCGTTTTACAACAGCTTTTCTGACTAAAGGCTCTGAGTCTTTCTCTGTTAATCACAGAAAGTTGAGGGAGGGAGGCACTCAGGTAGTAACTTAAATAAATGGGAAAAGATGGTCTGCAGAGAATTAAAAGAACAATGACAGTATGAGGTTGTGCTATGAGATTTTCTTGTTTCTTTCAAACTCATGAGCAAATACCGGTATTGATAGAATCTTTTGTTAGATTTGGCTGTGCAAAAGTTCATCTTTTTCCTAGGTTATGTTTTATGGGCAGATAATGCCATACTGCGTCAGGCTGAAGGTGATGGGTTGGTGAGTCAGGAGAAATGAATCACACATGCATTTGGCAGAAAAGCAGAAGATACCATTTGTGTTTTAACTAAGGGCAGAGCACTAGGCTGTAATTAAAAAAAAATATGATAAATAAACTGAGACGGGATTTAAAGCTACATCAAGGTTTCCCTCAAGTAGTAGAGATTTCTCCTCATACAAGCAGAACAAAGGAAGTTAAGTGATCTGGAAATGTTGTTTATGGCTAAAAGAATTGTGAAATAGGTCCTGTCTCTTGGTTGATGTCAGGTACAGCTCTGATCAGGAGCCAATGCTTTTTTAAAATTTATATACAATCTCTTTTGCCTTATCAACCTCAAACTGTTGTACACCTGTCAAACCAGTGAGTGGTTTAGTTCTGAAGCAAGCCAAAGCTGAGGTAACTTGTCATCTGGCTGCAGTAAGTCCTGAAGAATTCCGTCACACTAGTAGAATTGTCAGGCAAAACCATGATCTTTGTTAATGCTTCAGAAGCTGAGAATCCAGTAATTATAGCAAACTTCTTCTTTTTTTTTTTTTTTTTTTTTTTAAAGGTCTGTCTCATTTGGTAGCAGCTTCCTTTACTGAAGACCAGTTTGGAGTTGTCCAAACCACACTGCCAGCTATCCTGAATACTTTACTGACTCTTCAGGAGGTAAAAACTGTTAACTTTTCCTTACTGCAGAACAAATTTAGGAGAAGAGAAACAGTTTTGTTAACTTTATATTTTGACTTTGCTGATCAGTCATAACAATTCAGGTTGTTACCACTGTAACAACTCCTCTGCAATTAATCTAAACAAAACAGCTTGTTGCCACTATGTGCATTATGAAACAGCTGAATAAAAACCTTGTTAGTTTTTTAAAATGTAGAAGTAGAAAACATGTTTTAAATAGAATGTTTCATTTTAAAAAGAAAGCTATTATGTGCTCAGTTAAAGACTTTTTTCAGGGATGCAATTATAATACTATATTTTATTCATAGTTAGGATTTAATCTTTATTTGGCTGTGCACAATTCCTCATGCAACCTGGAGCACTTGGAGACATTGCAAATCACAGGAGATAAGATCTTTGTTGTTTCTCTACTAAAGCTAAGACATTACTCTCAAATTGCTGATGTTTGTGTAATGTGTATTTCAAAAAAATCCAGATTTGTTTCCCAGACTATGTGTGTCCTACTGCCGTAATCATTTTATACTGCCTTAATGGTGATTATTGAAAAGAATTCAGAAGTTATCGAAGTTCTTTAGTGTAAGTCATCTGTTCTAAGAATGGGCACTGGGGTGGGAGGGACCCCCAATACCCTTGTTTCTGAAAGAAACAAATTCATAATACAGGACAGGATTGAACTTCTACTGCAGTGTGTGTTGTGCTTAGCATTTAAGACTCATTAACAGAGAATCTTATTTCATAGAACTTAGTTCTGGGTTCATGTTGATGGCCAGGAAATGGGAGGTCAAGCTGAGTCTCCAATACATGTTTGTGTGTCTTGGTGGGATTTCTGAACTTGTGCTTTTGTTTTGCTTTGACATAAACCTGTTGCTAGTTAAATTATGAAATAATTGAACAGTTGAAACAAGTTTGTTTATGCTTTTCTCAATCAGGTTGTAGATAGATATTTCAAACTGCCTCATGTTTCTAGCAAGCCCCCCAGGATTTCAGGAAGTCTGGTGGATACATCCTACAAAACGCTACGATTTGCACTTAGAGCTTCTCTGAAAACAGCACTATACCGGATAACTACTGTCTTTGGGGAGCACTTAAAGTAAGAACTTTTTCATGTTTGCTCACTTAGTAAATTTAGTTTTAATTAATGTCATTGTAGGACCTGTGAAGGGTCAGAAATCCCGTTGGGTCATTACTCTAGCATGGTATTTTAGTATTTTTTATTATTTTGGAACCTTAAAAAATTCTTGTGCAGATATATGGTCCCCCGTAGAAACTTGTTATTCATAGATTTCTGGGCAATCTTTTTGAGTGACTTTTCATGAACTCTTTAGAAGCAGTCCATGAATACCACACTTTTATTAAATCTTAGCTGTTGAAAAGAAAGTAAATCAACTAGAGACAATTGTCTGTTCTTTAGGGTGAGAATCCTGTGAAGAATCCAAATAATCAGATTCCCTTGCTGCTTGGTTGTCTGATGGTTCTTTCTCAGCTACTGTTGCAGCAGGCAGACTCTCTAAATAAGTGGGACTGAAACTTCCTGCAGTATCTGCCCATCTTTCCCTGTGGGGATGAAATGTCACTTGGTTTGGAAGTGCCCGATGTACAGGAGAGATCATTTTAAGAGATTCTTTCTTACCTCAATCATTCTTGCAAGTTAAACAATTGCTTGTGTGTGTTTAAAGGTAAGGAAATAGGCTAGGTTTCTTGGGACAAGTGTCTCTTAGTAGTAGAAACTGAGGTTAAGAGTGAGAGTTTTAAGGGTTAATATACGTTTTTGTCTTGGAATGTAGGTTTCTCATACAGCTGGGTTTTCTAAAATTTAGCTTCAGTGTAATTGTTGATTTCAATGTTTTGGCATGGGGCTTTTTGTGGTGTATTACATTTAATGCAAAAATCTTATGTTCTGCATTTGTTGTTTTTAGTGCAGTGCAAGTGTCTACAGAACATAAGAAAAGACTTCAGCAATTCTTGGAATACAAAGAATAAATAGCAGATTTTGATGCAGCTATGGTTGTTTTTTTCCAACACTTGGTAAGAAGAAATTGGGACTGATGAGCCTTTTTATCTTGGCTTTTTGGAAAAGCATATGGAAGTACAAGTCAGAACAAAACTCTTAAAACTGTAGAAGAGCTCTTTTGGGTTTGGATTATCTTTTGTATAATAAAGCCTTTTTTAAAATTCATCTTGCTGCCTTTTAATATCACTTACAAATGAGTAAGTGTCAGTTCTTATTTTATGTAAGATTGACATTTGAGATTATCAGAGTTACTTTGCCACTCAGATTCTTCACTGTATTTCATGATATATTTTTCCCTACCCTTTTCTGTTAAAGGGCTGAGTAGAGATTTACACAGATACTTAGTGTGCTTAAGGGTTTCATAAATCTAGTTGATAACACTTTTAGTGCAGATGAAGTGTGTACTTTAAGAGTAGGAAACAGATGTGCCCAGGAATAAAACATGCTACTCTTCTGTAAGATGGAAATACTCCTTCAGAGTAAAATGGGTGTGCAGAAAGGCATTGTTAAGGCACAAATACTGCTTGGAAAGCTAGCAGCTTGGATTTTATCTTTAAGGTGACCTAGGAAACTAAGTTCTGATCTATGCTGAAATGTAGAGGAAACATTACTGCATTTAGTAAAACTCCCAAGCAATGACATTGTGAATTAAAGTTTAGATGAACAGCTTTCTGTTAAGAGGGATAATAAGGATGTTTGCAGAATATCCAACTTTTTGAAAATAATATACATTATGGGTAGCTTCTGGTGAAAAATACAACTTTTTAGAAGCATTTTTTAACGCTTTTTATCTGGAAGTAAATCTGTCTAAAGTGTTTGAAAGTGAACTACTCGTTTTTTAAACTGACCTCACTGTGATATCTACGCTAGAAAACATGTATGGAGTATGGAGAGCTTAGATATAGCTGCAGTACCTTACTGTCTATTCCATGGTCTTGCAGATGAATTTAGTGTGATAAGGAGAAACAAAATCTGGATGGTTTTCCTTATGTTCTCTTCGGTGCTGTTAGTCCTGTGGGGGTTGTTTTGTGTTAGAGGACCTAAGATCTGGAGGTGGCCATGGTGTCAGTTATGTTGGTGTGATGAAATGAGCAGCTGATAGTGAGTGGTTGTGTAGTAATTATTTGGGGGGTCTGTAAGATTTGGCTAAAAGAGAAAACCCCACATGTACCATGAGACTTGCATATTGCTTTCCTCAGCAGAGAGACATAATTTTCTTGTAGTGCAGACACTGTGTGTGTTAGATTTGATGGGGGAAATTAGAACAGTATCATTCCTTCTGCACTGAGATGGCTTACAGCAAACACTGTAAGTTGATGGACAGCCTTTCATTGTATTTAAAGGTTAAGCACAAAGTCTTTTAAAGCTTCCCCAAGCTTAACTTCTACCACAGGTTTAACCATTATGTCAAAGCCTCTTGCCTGCTTGGCTTATTAAATAATTTAATTTGCTTATTTTCTGGTATTGCAGTGTGCATCTGGAGTTAAAATGGTGCTTTAGCTAGTACCTCAGGTGTAATGGTTGACTCAAATACTTCAGCCTAAAGTTTCAAATAAAATTTGCATTTAAACAGGTGCAGAATATTATTGTTTTTATTGCTCTGGTATTTTCTGCAACACTCCCACAACTATAAGCTGTAAATTGTAATTAACAGTGTTATGGCTGTCAGCAGCAGGCTTAAAACGTAGGCTGCTTTGTGATGCCAGAGTGCTTGAGGTCTGTCCTTCTTGTGTTGCACATGACATCTGCTAATGTGCGTGTGATTCATGGCATTCTCTGTGTATGAGAGAAGAGCTTTCAAAAGCTGATTGCTCTGTGGTTTCTTTAAAAGCCTTCAGTTCTTAAAGAGCTGTAGACCTTTTTTTTTTTTTTTTTCCCAAACCTTTACTTAAAAGTGCATCTTTAACAGTATCTCATGCTCATGAATGAAAGTGTACAAGAATATAAATGTATGTTGGGTGCCCTCGAAGATGTGGTAACTGGCTCACACAGAGATAACATCTTTCTAGTTTTGGCTTTGGGAATAATTATATTCCTCTGACAAACTGCTGGTGTTTCAAGTCCTTTTTATATACTTCTGTCTTAACATAATTTGTCTGTGAAGCCTCTGTGAGGTATGGGAAGAGTCTCTTGAGTTCATTTCTGCATTCTGGGTAATGAGAGAAAAAAATAAAGCCTTTTTACAGTTGGTTTCTATGTAACTGCAGTTAAATTGGATCCCTCAAGCCTGATAATATTTCTCATCTGTTTAATCATATCAAAGCTGAGCTGCATCTTCTTGCTGGATTGCCTACTGAATGCACAAGTGAAACTGATAGCATTTGGTTTGATTGCTGTTCCGGTAACCTTGCGAACCGCCTGCCTCTCCCTACAGGTTACCTGTAGTCAAGATTATCTGAAATTATTTCCACTGCAGCTGCACAAAGGTACGCAGTTGATGGTTTAGATCTGTTTTCCTGTTAAAATGGAGTAACAAAATATATGCTTTAGCTCTTAAGCAATCTCTTATTAATCTCAAAAAAAACCAACCAACCAACCCACCCTATCTTGCTTCATTTTCTGAGATATAACTTCAATAATTCAAACTGGGTGGATAAATGCAGTGGCCCTAGTCCTTGAAACTTCTGCAGACTGCTGTATCCAAGGGAGCCAGGCAGGACTTGCTCCTTCAGGAGGAGCACTTTGCCACTTTGGAGAATTGTCTCGATGCCAGTTGCAGCTCAGGGCCTGAATGCACCCTTGAAATGAAGTGGTTTCGATTCTGTCGCTGCTTACTTTGAACAGAAGCTGCACTGTGTGTACTGTGCTTGGCGTCTTGAGGCCTTAAGCAGCCATCTTCCCACCTACCCAGGGACACGTATGGCTCGGGGGGCAAGGCAAACGCCCCTGCACATGCATCCAGCTGCAACTGTGGAAGTATCGGTCTCCTGCTGATGGATTTGCTGGTACGTGTTCAGTCACAGGCAAGTCGTGCAGTCGGTGGGCTACGTGCTCACCAGACCTCCCCCCAGCTAGCAGAACTGGCCACGTACGGGATCTGATGCTCTGCGGGGGGGAGGGCCTGACACTTTTGGGGGGTTGGGTGTATGTGGATCCATATGAGGTGGCCCCAGGAGCACCCTCAGCTGTGGGGGTGCTTCGTGCCACGTGCAGTGTGGGGTGGAAGCCTGCGGCGCTCTGCATGTTCGGGCAGGCATTTCATAGCTGCAGGGCTTCACACGCTGATGGCAAGCATGCTCCCACCACTCCCATCACCACCTTTCTACAAAAATGAAAGAAAAAGATGAAGGTCTGGATGGAATCATCGCAGATACTGCAAGTTGAGAACCCTCCCCACTACCCACACACTCTCCTCCCCCTGTGGTCTTGATATCTTCCATCACTGGTACTGTGTTAACATACTTACCATGTGGATCAAATGCACTTGGGTGCTGTGGACATACCTGGAATGTGGTTTGCCAGGCTCTTGTGTTGTAAGGGGATGTTCTCGCATCAGAATATTGCTTCCCCTTGCTGCAGACTCATAGTAGGGATTTGCATCTGGCATATCAGCTGTGGACAAACCTGTAGTATAAACAAACTGCAGCTCCCTTGTGTCTGAGAAAACAGCCTGAGAGAGAGCAAAACCTACACCATACTCTGATTTCAGAAGACAAAAAATAAATTAGGGAAGACCTCACCTTTCTGCCCCTGCAAAAATCTTGGGACTACAGTAGAGCTAGTCAGTCAAGAGATAGATGAAGGTGGTGTCCCTGGAGCCTGTCATGAGATCAAAACACAAATGCAAGGGGGAATAGTTCCCTGGTGGCCTGCTGGATATGCTAGCTGATTCTTCTAACAGCTGGTGATGGCATAGTTCTCTTGTTTTTTTTTTTCTTTTTTTTTTTAATCCCCCTAAAGAGTCAGTTCCTGAAGTAGGAAGAATTTCAGAGAAAACCGTGGCCTAAGAAGTACGGGTATGTGCTCATGCAACCATCAGAGGAACCAAGTGCTGGGTAAATAGTGATCTCTTCATCCCCTGCCCCAAATCCCCCAAAATACAGGCCTTGTCTTTTGCTTCTTGAATAACTCAACTTTTAAATCTAACTGCTAAAACAGCAATGCTGGGGTGAGGTGTTGTATTTAACTGAATCTTGTCTAAAAAAGTATGGCAAGAGCCCTGGAGTCAATTTTGAAGAAACTGGGATTGGAAATATATAGCCTCCTGCAAGTCAAAGCTTGTTACAGGTTACGTGTAAGCATCATTCTCCACTTGCTCAGCAAGCTTCAGCTGTGGGCTTACTAATATTAGATGTTTCAGATCAAGAGGCAGGCTGGGTGGCTACCTTCAGGGCAAGCTTTGCTGATGGGGTGGATGGGGCACCAGCTTTGTAAACCGCTGGGTTCTGGGTCTGTTTTCCAGCAGGGGCCACTGCTCAAAGCAAGTTTGTGGAAACACCAGGCTGCAGACCTTGTCAGGGGTGGTACAGAGTGTGGGGTTGAGCACAGGGCTGCAGCCTAGAGTTAGGTACTCAGGGGGCTGCTGCCTTTGCAGACCCTGGCAGTCAGGTCTGGGGAAGTCTTTATCAGCAACCAGAGTGTGGTAGGAAAGCCCAGTCTTGTAAGCAGTGCAGGTTGAACACTGCCAGGGAGGCTTGCCCTTACCACAGAGATCCCGTGCAGCGCTTCAGCTCTTCACAGGTGGCCACTCCTTGCAAGTCTCCCAGTTTCTGTAGACTGTTTGGGACACCAAGGCCTGAGTTTAACTGATGGAACTCGAAATGTGCTCTACTGTATACAATGATGGGAAACGCTAAATAACCTGGAGCGAGGGGTGGAGAAAGCAGTCAGTCTTTGTCACAATTTTAGCACTCAAACTGAAGCTTTTGGCTTCTGGGCCTCTGTTGTAAAATGAAGCTTAGTCTAACCACACCCTCCCTCACCTCCAATGGTGGTAATGAAGTATTTGTTTGCAAATTGGTGGGCTGCTGCAGTGATGGACACCAAAGAAATGCCCTGGAGTAAATGAATAATTCTGTGTTCTGCACAGGGTTTGGCTAATGTGCAGTAAATATATTCAGTGTGTGGTCCAGACACCATGCCAATAAAGAGAAAACAGAAGAGTGACTAGCTGCTCATTCAGCAGTCACTACTTCAGTGCATTGAATATATGGATCCCCAGGCAAAATAACTGTGGGGCCATGTTATAATGCCAGTACTGTAATTGATTTATAGCAGGCATGAATCGAAGTTGTACCAGCAATTCTAGTTCTGGCGTGTCC